AGAGATTAATAACAGCAGAGCCTATTCTGTGACGGTGTGAAAATGATACTGACAACCTGTTCCCCCTCCCCCTAAAAAGATGACCAAGCCTCTTTATATTATTTAATTAATAGAGAGAGGGGTATGAGCGATCATGCATGCTGTGTGACGGACGACGCATGCTGCCACTTAAAGTTCTGATCAAATTCTAATACCCGATAGTCGTTATAGTCGTCTACAGCGTAGGGTATATTTGTGGCTTGCCATGTTCCCTTTGTACGGCTGAGTGGCAGAGTGGCCGGTGGACTGGCAGGCAAACTGTCGGCTACTTAGACATGCAATAGACCTTGTGCAATGCCTTTGTTTTGCTGGGATATGCATGAGTGCACCTTTTGTTCATTCATTGTTACTGAATTAAAATAACGACAGATACCCTCTAAGATGGCTGCTGCGCATAATGTCTATACTCTATTAAAGACCCCTTACGTCACATTGAGGACAAGTCTTTGTTATAGAGAATTATGTTCTCATTGCTACTGAATTCAAATAATCAAAATGTCCCTCATTGAGGGCGTATATAGCACGCAATGGGTCTGTACCTTTGTTGTAGCGACGCACGTGAAGCCCCACCTTGCGATTCTGTGCAAAAAGTGATTCAGAACCAAAGACTGGCATCAATCAGTTTCTATCATAACTCACGCTTGCTCGTTGCAGTTTATAACCGTGGGAGGCAAGGATGGAAGCGAACCTACTGACACCGCGATTGAACCACAACTGTACATTAACAGAATCAGGAACCGAAAGAGATTAATAATTGCAATATTATGTCAGCCGGTGTAGCTGGTCTTATCATTACACCCACATTTCCTGTTTCACCACACAGGCATCGATATCACGCGAACCACCTACATGTAATTTGTGAATATTATATTTACTGTTCGGAATGCGTGCCTCTCTGTTGGCAAACTGATCAGTAAGTCATTACTCAAGCTCGTGTCACTTCGGGACAACCACCACCACATGCATGCAAGCCACGTAATAATTCACGACCATGCCCTGATCATCGTGTCTCACGCGAAGGGCGCTCTTAAACACCTTGCCATCATACTCGATATTACCTTTCAAGTTTAAATCATCAAACAAGCAAAACTATGAAATCTAATTGAACAGAGCAGAGGCCATAACTCATGAAACTCGTAAGAGGGCGCTCCCCAGTAGAATTAAGGACCCAACCAAAGGCAACTCCGAATTACTTGGCTACGGCCGGTAATAACACACGTGTCATAAGAAATTCAGCCGCTCCCATTGGCGCATGTGTAATTCCTGGCCGTAGCCGTATCCATAGCTGGCAGTCATAGCTAAAACATTGAAGAATGAGGAAATCAAACCAGGAAGTAACCTTAGACAAAGGCTATGTGCTGTGAACTGTTTCTAATCTGTCCTGTCAGTTTTCCCATTGGCACGTTATTTATTGTTCTGAGCATAAGAGTAAGCATTCCAACGCGACCAGGAATTGCTTCTTTTGTACTTTTCTTCTTTACAGTTCAAATCTTTTTTTCTTTTTTTTTGCTCAGAATATTTGATTGTGCAATACGACCGTGCACATCCGCTGTAAATGGAGGCAGTTTCCGGTAAGCAAGTGACTATCTGCTGCCCACACACACACCAACCGATGGGCTGTTTCATGACGAGGAAATGAGACTCAATAACCAGCAGGAAGAATCAATGGCGTTCAATTTGGAAGGGAAAATTGGCATGCACTTATCGTTCCCTGTCATTAAAATATGGCCTGGAAATTGAGACAAATAGTCATGCAGTATTAAAGTGATTTACCCCCGATACTGAAGACTAGAGACAGGAGAAACAAGTTGGACCTATGGTTTGCAATACCACAAACTGTAACCAACATTTTCACACAAGATCCCATGGCTACATTACACAGAAACTGGCGGTATATGTTTGAACGCACATAATTATGTTTAGTGTATATTCTGAAACTAATTTGACTGGTGCTTGTACAGCTTTCCCCAAATCTGTTTTTGAAGCAAATATCGTTGTTCGGTTTTCCTTCGATCGTGATAACACTGCTAATGGACCAATGGAAGCCATGAGCATCATCTATTTTCCGGTGCTAGTTATCTGCGACTGTCATTTTACAGCCCTAATTCCATTTTACACAAGTTACGATTAAGGTTAAATCAAACAATGCCACTTACCTCCTTTCTTTCATCCTGTATACAATTCTATGGACGGATGAGAACACTGACAACGAATGCTAGAATACATGGAACAGAATATTGACCGCATGTAGCAACAGGTACTCTCGATGAGTGTCTCAAAAGAGCGTCCTTACAAGTTATCTGAAATGAGGCAGATTGTAATGAGGCGTATATACGTTAGTAATGATATATGTCTGCGGTTCCACATTATCCTCGCGAACGAGTTCGTTCACTGGCTTATTGGAATCAAGTACGATGGCAACGCAGCGGCATTTGTAGACGTTCAGCCTCCTCGACCAGAGTGTGGTCCAACATGTATCGACAGGACTTCTGACAGTCCTTATACTATACAGTCCCAGGTGAAGTGAGGTCTATGTTAGAACCTGGTGAAACCCCGTCTAAAATCATTGGTTCCTCGCGCGCGTGCCAGCTGCATGCCCGTCCAGGCTTGAACCACAACTGCGACGGACGTCTGAATGATGACATCAAAATGTACTGAGCCAACATGTAAACCTGTACCGTACCAGCTGACGGGCACCATCACGCACAATCAAGCCCCCCCCCCCCCAACACGTACGTTGGCACGTGCCGGTGAATTCGTGACCACCACACGCAGACCACCAGAGTTCCCTGAGAGTTCCCTATCAACTGACTCCAGACTAAGGCCAACGCATACCGTGAGCAAGCTCGGTAGTTGTAACGGAAGGCCAGGTACATTATCTCACCGAGTCAAGGTTGAGACCCCGTGCCTATCTCCTACCTACCCGGTCCGGGCCACTTCCCGTTTGTAGTTGACTGGGAAGGTCAGAAACACTCTGGCAGGCTTCCGGTTTCCATGGACGCGGAAAACAGACTAATAAATCGTGATTGAACCGTTTCCCTACTGCCTGTACTGGATGCTGAATTGTGAAGGGTCATTGGGATCTGGGGAAGGGGTGTACCGTGATGTCCATTCGCGACCCCTCTCTTCCAATGCACCCCAGGCCGCTTGGACCCTCCCGTTCTCTGTGGTACAATGTGAAAGTTACAATCAGTGACACACAGCAGGCTAGCTTAGGATCAGTCTGTTGGACAAGTTTTAGCCTTTCTTATTCCCCAACCTATATATATATGTATTTCATTATTCGTTCAGGATCAACCACCAACTTCAACCCCCTAACTCAGGCCCGGATCCGGGGGGGGGGGGGTGGGTCGAAATACCCCCCCCCCCGCCGCTCTACCCCCCCCCCCAATTATAATAATTACTGCTCTGACACCTCCCAAAAATATAAAAAACTCTTACGGGGCCTGAATCCCCCCCCCCCTGCAAACAATCCTGGATCCGCCCCTGCCACTGCTATGTATTGGCAGGCTTGATGCTTGCTGATCAGAGTTAATGCTAATTAAATTTGTACTAAAAAGCTGTGATTGAAACTATTCAGTCACAAGTCATGTCACGAAAAATACAGGGGACGATTTGTTACAACGCATATCGTGTCACTTGACTTGCCGCGACCGGATGACTTGTGATGACTCGTAGTTGGCTTGTGATGTCTTGCGATCATTACAACTCTGGTTTCCAGAACACAAGGACCTCAAGAGCAGATTTTACATACTCTAAGTTTTATAAGAGGCAAGAACAGTTTTCAAAGTCCGCTTTTAAAGAACCTGCACACTGTATTTTAACATGTTGATGAGGTCGACGACTTTATAACAGTTCAGTTTCAAGCAGCCCCTGGCAGGGTTCTCCTCACGAGCAGAAACAAACCCACACAACTAAGCATGACTCACTGTGCCGTACCTGCTCGAAAATACTAATAAGAAAAGATTATCTTAACAGGTATTTGAGCCCGGTGTATCCGCATGTAATCATGGCCCGAGCCGCGTGCGAGGTTATATCTGGCCCGTGTTGATATCGCGGGCTTTGCAATGATGATGCACATTTTCTGCTAATTTCACCTTAACCTGATTACCGCTCGGGTCGGGGCAAGCCCGGCCAGATAAGAAAACGAGCATTTTATCTAAATTACCTGGACGTTTGATTTGTCAACGGAGAAAATTCTCGCTGGCAGTTGGCATTTCCGGCTAAAGGTTGTACTGCTGATTTGGGGGGATTGACACGGATTTGTCAAATTGTTTCCAAGGCCGAGTCAAAAGGAGTCATATCGACGGGACAGCCACCGAGCTTAGACTTCAGTACCTGAATAATTTGGGCGGATCCCTGGGGGTATGGGAACAATTATTCTCAAACCTTTCCTGCAAGTCCATGTTTTCTCGTTTTGGCCCATTCCAACCCCGGGCCAAATCCAAAATCTTTTTTGCACTCACACGAGTCGCTGCATGCTTTCACTCAAACCATTTCAATAAATTTGGCATTTTAACGCAATACACAAACAAAATCACATGGCATTACTATCCTATTCAGTTCAATCTGTTAACCAAAGTCAACCAGTTCAAAGCCTCCATTGAAAGCGAAGTTCAGCAAGGTTAGCCACCCCGTGAACTTGTTACGGATACAGCCAGTGGCACATTGTGTAGTTTATCGCATAATCCATCGATGATCTTTGTCGATTAAGTCTTCCTGCATCACCGGGGTGGGTGAACGGTCATTAAACGGGCTCCCAAAAGAGCAACTTGAACGCTAATAACGGTTATTAAAGGTTCATAGGATCATTTGCTTTTAGTTGATGCATTTTTCTTTCGTTTGATGCAACAAAATTGCTCAAAATCCTATTTGGAGGTGCGTAACAACTATAACATGTTGAATTTTTTAGCTCACTGGCTATACTACATATTTCCTTTTTTTCTGTTTTGTTTTTCTAGATAAGACAGAGAAAGCATATGCACATCTTGTGGTGTCTCTGGATTCAGATGGTGACGAACGTAAGTGTGCCACTTTCAATGATTCTTTTGTATCGAACAATATCATTTCAGACAGGATATTTTCCACAATAATTTTGGTACCAGTGACTGTCATATCTTCACCTTTTGCAATTTTCCCCCTCATTTTTCCTCGTTTTCCTCGGTAGGTACGTTTTCGGGTAATTAGTTCCTTCTGTCTTTAATGCAAATGAGATTTGTTGTGCATAAATTGTACGAGATATCCATGCTTAGTACATTTGCAAAGTTTTAATCAAACAAGACAATTTGCAGTTATGTCGCTCTTTATAATACCCACGACGATCCCTATTGGATACGTTTAGCATGCACGGTCAACGAAAAAAAATTAAGCACTTAAAGAACACTGCGACGACAAATTTCCATTTTAATACTTCCAATGCCCACAGCTACCTTCGGGTACGTTGGAATTTAGTTCATCGAAACTTGGCAAGAAAGAACCAAATTCGTTGCTGAGACATCAGATAACTCAATATGGAGGCGAATTCCACCCACCCGGGACCTTTTGGGGGTATGCCCCCGTCCCCCTGTGTTACCAGATCCAGGTCTATCGGGACTCCTTAAATTGACAGGTATCGATCGGCCAGGTAATTAGGGACCCTTTGCACTTGTCACTTGCCATAAACTTTAATGCAGTAATAGGTTGCGGTAACTTGGTTTGTCATGTAGGAAGGTTAGTCAACCGCGGGCGAATTAGGAACCACTACAGGCCAGGAAACCAATGGGGTAACAGTCGGCGCGGATAAGGCGACGGGAAGGGGTCATGGTCAATTATCATCGGACTTGGCTTCAATGATGAGGCTAGTAAGGGACTTGGACAAGTCAGAACATGGTATTAACATTTTTAGCATTTCACATATTTAGGATTTGATTTCTTTTACAAAATTGTTGGAACCACTATTTCCTCAACATTTGTGCACAGGCATCTTGGAATCCTGAAGGATCATGAAGGGAGGAAACCTCACGGAATTCATGTTGATTAATATGACACCGAAGGTTCCTAAAAAATGAAGGGAAACCAAGGGATAGAAAGACGATGAGGAGACGTCCACTTTAAGATGTGGGAGGAAACTCCGGAATGTTACCCAAAGAAATTATACAAGGACGCGATCCTCAGAATGGTGCGGGCAGAATATGAGCCCCGATCTAAGAGAGGTGGGGCGAGAAATCTGCGCCAACCTGACGAGTCATAAGCGACTGTCCTTTTGGGGGTTTGATTAAACATCCTTGTGTGTTTGTTCCATGGATAGTTGGACGAATTCTGGCCTTGGCTTTATCTCTGGATACAGAATCATTTAGAATAAATGTAGGTTACACTTAGTTCTGGGATATTCACTCAACTCCTTCAAGAAATCAACTCAGACAAGGTGCAAGCAAAAAATAATACACCAAAGGATAATTAATTCGAAAAGAGCGCATCGTATATGAGAATCGATAGCACCCGCGTTTTGTTGTCATCTTTCAGGGACAACAGACCGGCGCACTGGCTGCTTGTTGTGAAGTCCAGGTGTTGATACATTGATTGCCAAAGCTCACTAATTAATTTTTATCGATGGAAAAACTCTTATAGTAAAGTCTTGTTGTGCTGTGGACACTGACTAAAAACTGCTGCATTGGGGCTTGCCGAGCGTGGTCGAGCGAAGCCGCTTCATGGAACACTTCGTCCTTAGTTTTAAGTCGTTTTAATTAGGAAATAACCTTCAAGTATCGAGCAATCTTGAGTGGCAGCAAGTAAATTAAACGGAGGAAAAACTCCGCCCGTGGTTCAGTTCCTGCTCTCTGATGAAAGCCAAATTTGTGCTTAATTCCACGGGTGGGCGTAGTTCCGACTGCAACATTATTGCGACCTCTGTAAAAGTCAGTTTACAACGCACTCATAAAGAGAAAATTGTACATCATTCGAGGCATCCCAGACAAGAGCAAATGGTGTCGCAGACTGTCAGTGACCATCTGCAACTTAACTGCGTTCCCGTTTGCAAAAGATGTGCACTGAAATCGTAACTGCGCGGTGTTTACGACATGTCTTAATCTTGCGACGCATCGCAACTGCGATGCCTTCCTGGAACTATCGTAGGGCAAGTGTAGTAAGCGAACCTTAAATACCATAACACGATGACTGTTTCGTGTATGTACTCTGTGAATGATAAGCATTCGTCTATTTCAGCAGAGTCATCGAATTTGAACTAGAAGTTTTAAATCATAAGATAAAATGGCGATGGATTGGAGATCATCTCAAATGATCTTTGTTTTAAACATTTCTCTCAACTGTGATCTTGATTCTTCGTTAAGTATGGTTATACCAAGAAACCGGTGTTAAAAGGACATTATCTTGGTTACAGCGACCCAAAACGGAGCCCTAAACTACAGGGACTGAAGATGACTTCAACACGTTACGTAAATTTGCTCATGCAACGAATCGGGACTGATGCGCATTTGCAATTCTAGCTAAAACGTGTCGCAGCACTTTGTGACTTTCACGGAATTAATCCGTTTTAAAAGCTTCAAATTTGCATAAATGCAACATTATACGTGACTCTAACTTGAAGTCGGTGGCCCAGTACAAAGTGTAGGCCTATGCAATTTACTGCCACAAAACTAATTACGAGTAGGTGAATAAAATCTGAATCTATTATGAATAAATTGTAATCTGATGGGACCATCTTCGCTCGTCAATATCAATGACTCAAACCTCTTACCACCGTCTGGCGGCATCAAGAGGAGTCATCTAGCTTTTGTCTGGAACAATTGCATTAATCTTCAGTGTGAATTAAAGGTCGATATTATTATGTAATACTGCTGAATGGGATCGGCCTCGACTGGCGAATGGAATATCGGCAAAAAATGATAAACGAATGACAAAAAAACCCTCAATTTGTGTGCACTGATGGTGATATATATTTTTTTGTTTTATGTGCAACACGTTCGTGTGTGTTACAAGAACAGATGGGGTAGGGTACACAACAGTTTATATGGACATTTTGTTTAGACAGTAGATCACACTTTGTTTATTTTTCTTTGTAAATACGATGCAAGGAAGGTGACGAAAAGACAACGTTCGTGCGAAAGGTTTTTAGCTGATCGCATAAAAAAAGTCTCCCCCAAATAACAGGTCACAGAAAGGTCCCAGAATGCACAAAATCCTGTTCAATTGACTCAGAATGACCATTCCCTTGAAATCTTTTCGTGCATCTTGTCTACACAATGTACCTGATTAAACCCATTCATTGGCCTTACGGGGTACTCCTATACGATAGCACTGCCCAGCTCGTGACAGTGACAGTAACTCAGTGAGGTAAAACATTCTGGTTCTCTGGGACCAGCAAAGAGATCACACATCATTTATTTTCACATTACCGCTCTCCTTCACAACATTAAACAATAACACTGCAGTCAAAACTATATTCTTCATAAATGCACGCAAAACATAATGATTTATGCATTGCTGAACGAAGACACAGTGCCTGACATAATAATGGGGGCCGGACACCGAATAACCTTTGGGGTGTACAGGTTGCACATTGTGGCTGGTTTCTCACGGTACCAAGATGCTCATTATTGTGTTGCCCACCTGCACTCTCTCAATCAGGATGAAAGTCAGCTTCTAAATTGCTGCTGACGAGCTGGGTTTCAATACGTGAAAGCGTCTAATAAGAATTGGTTACAACCTCTGACAACACCCGTGCTTCACTCAGTGTTATGCAGCCTTTCATACAATCCCAATAGTCATGTGATACGAAATCGAAACAGCTTTTTACTTTCATAGTGACGCTTGTGAAATATCCAAATAAAAAAAAATGTTATGTGGACCTCTGTGAACATTATTTTGGGCAATATTGAATCATGTCAATCCACTTCATGTTGCGTTTTCACACGGTCTTAAAAATATTAATTTAACAGATAATTTGAGTGAAATATATCACGAGCACGAAGTAACTTTCAATCAATAACCGTACTTGCACAGAACAATTATTAATGAATTCAACATTCGTTCGGACTACAAAATATCCTCAGATAGAAACAACCACGTTCCTTTGCCTTTGTGACTTAATACATCTCTCGTCAATACAATATCTCGTTCACAATTGCAGTTCATGTTCCATTTCCAGGACGAGCTCGAATCAATATTGATCTCTTTCATTTTCTGCTTGAAGGTTATTTCCTGGTGACACAGAAACTGACTGGCATCAGTCAGTGACGGGAATAAATTACCTTGACTTGCCAAATACATTAACTTCCATTGTTATTTGCTATGCGATACTGGGTTTGATAAAATATCAACGGCAGAAAAATGTCTACAGAAACAAAGTAGTATTCGTGCATCTACCTGGATATAATAATTCTTATGGTGTCCATATTATTTCAATAAATGATGAGACTCTCCGAGCAGTCTGAAAATCTTTTAACTAGCCGGCGTCGGCGCAGAACTATAGGTTCAGCTCAATCCTGTGGTTCAAAACTGCCAAATCCAAACACATGGCAATACAAATCTGTTATCTGTCCAAAAACGAATCCTACAACCAAGTGGCGCACCCAAGAGTTTGTCAATTTTTTTTAATTTTATTCCCACGATTTGACCTTGGTGATATGAATGTGGCCTATTTTCGAGTAGTGTAATAGGGTGCAAGTGGTGCCACCAACGTCAAAATAGTCCCCCCCAAAACCCCCCCCCCCAAAAAAACAACAACAATAACTTCTACAAAAATTGAAAAAAAAAAATTGTGAACCCCCCCAAAGCCAAATCCTGGGTGCACCACTGCTACAACCATAACCTATCGATAAACCGTAGCGCAACTGCGCGCGCGGCACTTTGAAGTTCTGAACCTACACCTTTTTTTCACCAAAAATACAACTGTTACGTCTAAAACGGACTACCGACAAGCTTATTTGATTGCACATAATATTGTATAAAGGGTATTTTTGACAATTTTAGTATAAATGAAAATTGAAAAAGGAAAGCACAAATATACGCTTGCTGAGATGTTAAAGACATGTCAATTTATATATTTCGCTATAATGGTGTAACAAAATTGAATCAATATGTTTAAATCCTTTAAAGGTAAAATGCCACTTCCCCGCTGCTTAATTTCAAGCGACATTAACCACACCATGGGAACGTACAGTTCGTGAATTTTACAAGTTGCACCGGCCGCAGGCTAGGCTTAGGCGATCGGCGATGTACAAAGCCAGGGAATAATAAATCGTAGAAATCAACAATATCAAATGAAATGGAGATTTTGAAAAGATGGATTATGCACGGTATGTGATTTTTATGTATTTCAACCTTTTAAGGGCGCATTCGAGTGTTGTTACACAACATTTATGCTGCATCGCGACAAGAAAAAATGGCCCAACTCGAACTAGTTCCATATGAACTCAATGAACACCGAAGTGAAACTTCAAAGACACCGCTTTGAAGTTCCTTTTTTTAGGGAAAAAACCTCCATATTCAACCCCTGCTGGTACGTAGCTTTTGCATTAGCATTGAATCGTATTATGACACTACAAATTTCCCGATTGCAACAATTTCAGTGTCTGATGATAAAACATCTGGGGCTGAATTGTGACACCACTTCAATGCAAAAAACATAAACGTTACGTAGCTCACGTATTTCCCCAAAACCTTTGTCAAATTTGAAGAAAAGACTCACTCACCACTTTAGGGCCGTTGTTCCAGACTTGTTAAAAACATGTCCAAATTGATTCTTGCGATTCTTTGCAGTTATTGTTGAGACGCCAAATGTTTATCATAAAAGTCGCTTTCTCTTGTCCGGATGTAACGCGGATGTCCACGAATGCAGTCAGCGACATGCTGTAAAATGGTAAATACGACAAAATTATAGGAAGTGACGTATACAACAGTGCGAGAACACATCACATTCATGTACAGTCAAAAGATACCGGTATGCAATTTTAATAACAAAACAAAGTGTATGAATGGAATGGCCATATGGTGCAGCTGCTGAGCTGTGACGTCACTGGGGGTTTTGCATAAATTGGCTTATCTCGCCGGGGGATCGTTTCGCGTTCATAGTTTCTATCTCGGTCATGGTTTGTGAACGAGAATTGAAACCAATTGTAACATACCGCCGTCAGAATTGTTATTAATGTTTTTTTTTATACAAACATGTCATGCAAGCCACGATTATGATACTGAACCCCAACCGAGTTACTAACCGAGTAGCCCAAGTGCTGAGCAAAAATTAGCAGAGAACGAGTAACACACGTTCACTATTGGGGAACATATAAGTCTGTTTAGTTCCTCCTAAATGATACTGTTATTTAAGATATTTATTTATTTAGATGTATCCAAGCACTTCCCACTTCCGAAAAACATATGTAACTTGATAAAAAAAAAAATGAAAATTAACAAATCAAAAAGGGTGTGTTGGTCAGTGCTCACGCGTACGCGTGAACCCGTATCACGCAAACATCTCGTTGGCACACAAAGTCCACCATAATTTGAATCATGTGGAAAAACCACAGCAGGAAGGAAAGAACGGCCAAGGAAAGGAATATAACAGAAAATAAACATTAACATATGGAACTGGATGTTTTTGAAATGCTTAATTTCTAAAGGGAATCGACACATTCGAGTGTAGTATGACATTAATTTTGGACTCCACAAAATGACAGTCTCTTTGTGTCGTCCATCCAGATCCCATACAAAGTACAGTGGGTATCTACAGGTTCTACGATAACAAAGTGGACTTCAGAATGAGTTTCTTAAAAACGACCCGGCACTAGAGAATGTCCTCGGGGGAAACATGGGTCGCCTTTTCGGAAGATGTCGTTTTTCAATTTGGCCTTCTTGACTCTAAAAGCTGAATACACCACCCTTGTCAAAGTGCAGAATAGACCTTTTCTCAATTAACTTGAGTACAGACTAATGCATTACTTTTTACCAAGTTAACGTGACAATTAGGATATCTCTCTGTTTTATTTCTACAAATGTAATAATAATGCGGTGCTTATATAGCGTTTTATAGGCCTATACCAAAAATCTCTAAGCGCCTCATAACTATTACCCCTGTAATTATGAGACAAGTTTTTGCAGCAGCTCGAGATTAGCACATTCTAGTCTCTTTACCCTCTCATACTCCTGGGTGGAGAGAGGCAACTGTAGTAGAGTGTCTTGCCCAAGAACACAATCTCTAAAAATGATGTACATGTACTCACCAAAATCGACCCAGTCTGTTTCTCCCCATGTAAGAATGAAGCATTTCCTACTCGCCTGCTCCCTATAGTACTGACTTCTAATTATCAATGTGCTAGTCTCCCAAGTTTCAGTATCGGTCTGCATTTCCTTGTCTTGACTGCCAAGTGCTTCCTCTTTCCAAACCGTTCCGTGTTAAGGTTCTCTGCGACCACGCTGACTTCACACCATGTCCATGACGGCTGAATGACTTGCATACAGCGCCCTCTCGGAGGACAAGTTAGCGAAACTCAGTGACAATGAAAGTATAATGTCTACCATTAGCATCACAGAGAAACAGAGACTTGTCCCTCAGTGAGGGCGCCCTTTATGGGTAGAGTCTATTGATCCAAGGTCAACTGAAGAGAACACGACAATAGCTGTTGTTTCATGTTTGTAAATTAAATAATAGTTATTACCCAGAACATGGGATTTATTTGCCCAACGTTCAGTTACCTGATAGTTTATCCATAAACTACGACTAGCATGCTAAATCTTGAATAATTTCCAATTTATAAAAAAAATAAAAACAGTTTGCTCATGTGCATGATTACTATAGCGTCTCCAAATTTTGCAAAATTATCTTTGCAATCGCGGGATAGAACAACAGATGGAGGATAAGTGACAACACAATCTCTATCATTACCACAGTCGCTCCGTCTGCTTAGTGTTATTTCGATTTATGAGGGCGCTCTCACCATATCAATAGAATCAATATCATTTTCCCTTTCACTACGTTTAAGCGTATTCTAGAGCAAGTTGCAACTGCTAAATGCTGTAAGAATAATGTTCAGCTGGGCCATTTTGACTACATTTGTCTTTATTCTCGCAATGCATGCACACCATACCTGATTCAGGACGCCTTGATAATTTCTGACAACTCGACCCACTTTTTACTTAAAAGCGAAACATTATGTTGCCGTTTAATGACACCGAACCGCCATGAATATCCATAATTGATCAGGCCTAATTAATTATTTCCCCAAAGTATTGAGAGTGCAATGTCAGAGCCATGAAAAATTGATAACTCCTTCGCCTAGACGATTATGCAAAAGCCTCAGAACAGGTGTGAAGTTTGCGACAGCCCAGCTGCGACAAGACAAAAGCGTTGGAATGTCAGCCCAATCCGCAAAATATTATGCATTGCACTTTATACAGCTGCAGACATACGCGGTGCGCGCACTATTGGCCAATCGAAATAGAGAGAGGCAGGGCCAAGAACCAGTTCAAACTGGATCTTCCGTTTTTTTGCTAAGCTTGCAGACGAAAATGACTCTTGACCAATCACAGTGCACGATTCCTCACGCAACTCCGTTTACATCTTCAGATATCTGCCTAGCCTTCAGTTGGGTTCAGACGACAATTTCAAAGAACATTGTAATCCAAGAACTGGAATTACTCTTCGCTCTGTCTTGAGAAAAGTGTTCACTTTAAGGGTGTTCTAAATGATGTCGTCGTGGATAATTTACATACAAGGTAGGCCTATTGTTTTGCAACACATGCACAACACTCAATCGTATAGAAATGAAAGCCAGTACTTCTTTTAATCTCAACTCAAAATTGTAAGTTGTCATTCATAATAGTATAGTCATTACGTTATTCATAATCCATACACAAGCTTAGTTACATCGCAACACAATGACACAGACACAACAGTTTTGCGTGCATTTTGTAACCATTTATTATTCCATAGTAAACTTCACAATTTCTCATCTTGCAAATTAACTTTCTGTTCAGTGAATCAAAGTTCTAGATTGAGTACATTACAATACACAACTTCCTTTTAACAAAACAAAGCGTAACAAAATAAAAACTTAAGGCAATAAACATCAGGTCTTGAGGTGCAAGTATTAAGTAGGGTCTACTTAGTACAAAAAAACCTTAATTCTTGACTAAAATACCTGAATACAGTAACATGAAAAATACCTGAATACAGTAGCATGAAATAGCTCAATATGGACATGTTGCAACTAGCCACCAAAGTAAAAAGGGTATAAATTTCTCAAAAATAAAGCATATTATTTTGAATTATCCTTAATAATAAGTTTAGTCAAGGAAAAAGTCTGCAATACTAAGTATTTTTGAGTGATGGCCAACATAGTCGCTATATGTACTTCTGGCAAGAGCATGGCCTCTAACAATAGAGCTGTCGTCGGTAACTGGTACACAGACTGTAGGCCCTCCGGTACTACGACAGATGTGACAACTAAAAGAACGACCACTATAATGACAAACAATACACTGTGACAGCGTGGCCATCCAACTCACAGTTATAGCCTTGTTTCAACTACATGTATTTGACAAAATGTGACCACTAAATTTGCAAACTGGTGGCTGTAATTACCTCTCCACTTCTATTACTATTTTTGCCACTAAGGCTAAACTTGCAGATTGATGAAATTAGTACTACAACAAGTATTCTATTATTATCTATTATATTATTATTATACATTGTTTTACAGAGAGCAATGGCACTATGGAAATATATTATTGAATTGAATTCAATTCAATTGAACTGGCAAAAAAATGGTCTCCCACTACCATGACAACTAAACTATGACTCATTTTGGAGATCACAACTGTCTAATAAGACTAAGGTGTCCACTTCTGATTTTCCAATCAAGGTTTTTTTTTTTTCATTTTCCCAGTGCACAAATTCTGTTAAAGTGAGAGCAAGTATTCAGCCTGATGAAATGACACTGATCAAAAAAAATAACAAAAATTAAACAATTAAAAACTAAAAAAACTAAAATTGTAAATACGTTATCTCTAAAAACGCATATTTCCCCATTCATTAATAATCAATTATATTTCACATACTGTCTGATACAATCAAATATTGTAGGACAGGTGTGTGCTGAACAAAAAGTCTCTTTTTAGCTGATGTCACTGTTTATAAGAAGTTAATCTATTACAATTAATAACCACAGTTGAACTTTATATCACTGCACACAATTATCTTAACTCACTTTAATTATGCAAAAACATATATCTATGTGTATATTTATGCAAAAGCACAATGGAATGACAGTTTGATTGCAGTAAACAGAGATGTAACAATGAAAAATATCCAGCCAATAACACTGATACGAAGCTAACTGTACAAGTGTTGAATACTGAAGATACTTACTCCACTGAAAATGTTTTCATTTTAAGAAAAAACTGAAGCCCCTTTCCAGGTCCACACCTCACAACAAAACACACAACACACCTATCATAATTAGAATATAGACATATCAGAAACCTATATAAAGATATCATAAATTTAGGCATATATTTATCATCTAGCTAGCTAACTATTTGAACCATATACAGTATAGAAAATATATAATACATGCAACAATATTTCAATACTTAGTTGTTTTAAATGTTACTTTTTCACGAATGGACATACATTTAGGTACATTTACATGGAACACGAAGTTATAGTTATCTGCTAAGAGACATTACAGATATGTAGAATACTGTGAAACCCTGCAACCTGTATCAGTTATCCCACGAGTGGGAGTGGACGCACTACATTTTCCGTGTTCCACTCGCGCTTGTGAGATAACAAATTTATTTTCAAGCAAACTTGATGCACAGTAAAGATCAAACAGGCACGCTGTACACAAACTTTTCAGCTGTTATCGTATTACACGTGCATGCAGAAGGATCATCGCGCATATCTTGGAATAGCATGATACACAGTGTGCGATATGCACCATGGTATTAGGTATAATATCACACTGTTGTTGCCATGGATCAACCAATCAGGATCGAGGATTCAAGTTTACTTGAAGATAATTTTATTTAGCTGAGTATTATATAAAACAAAGGTAATGCACATTCGCCTGCACTAAAAAGACTCATATTTGTGCTTGTAAGAAAACTCAATATCTTATTTTTTGAAGCACTCACCCAAGCTACATATCGCGGCCATATTTTTATACACACTGTATACTCAGTGTTGCCCAAGGGCTTGCAGGAAAAACTTCACAAGCTTACTCGGATGGGACTCGAACCCAAGACCCAGTAGGCTTGTGAAGTTTTCTCGCAAGCCCTTGGACAACACTTAGTATATTTAGAAAATACGTCAGTGAAAGGCAAAATTCAATACATTTTTTTTTTTACATCTCCCCGACACAAATTCCATCTTATAAAATGTCTGAAATCAAGCAATATTCATTTAGCTATAATATCCACTTTCAAGTGAGTAACATTTATTGATGGATCAGATATGTGGAGAAATGTTAGGATATTTGTCACAATAATTTCATTGGAAATACATCATTGTTGTACACAATGCTATCCTACTACAACAACACATTGCATAATAGAGGCTGAATGATCTTGAATCAGAGCAGGAACTAGCTGTATTGTTTAGAGGAGGCTGTTGTGATAATTAAGATGTGCATCTGAATGTAAACAAAAAGAGGAGTTGGATACGCCCTTATATGGGAAAAGTGAGCCAAAAAAATGGCCACGAAGCCCAAAATACTGCTCAGTAAGTTTATCAGATTGAAACAATTTTGGAATATCTTTTGGGCTTTGGCTCTACCGTAATTAATACACCTCAGAGTTTTCTAAAACAGTCGGAGAAAAGGTCCTTTTTAAGTACACAAGTAACACATAGTGCTGATATTTAGGAGATATATGTTTCTTTGCTACATGTAGCTACCAACTGAAATGTCAAATACCCATTTACTCCAAAATGTACCAAGGTGGATATTTATGTATCAACTAAACTGTAAAGGTAAACTCAACTCAACAGGTGGATAATTGATTGCATTAGTACAGTACCCTGTCTTCTATTTTACCCTGATTTTACTACATATCATCCCTAAGTATGGTACCCTGTCTTGTGTTGCATGCTGCTATCATTGCTTCAAGTCTCTTGAAATGGTACCCTGATTTTGGTTGTATGCTGATTTCTATACTGAAAGGATTTACAAAACCCTGGCCTGGTCCCCGCATTTGGCTTCGTCCCCAGCCAAAAATTTATATAAATCCTGCCACCAAGGTCAAAAATTGGTGTCTCAATAGCAGAATATGAACCTATGTTGTCCTGCAGTCTGTCAAGTCAGGAGACTACAATTATCAAGTTAGACCCTGAAGCCTAAGCCAGATACTAAGCCTTGATTTCATAAACTCCTTACTGTTCTGTGGTATGGTACCCTGTCTTCTGTTGTATGCTGACCCTCACTACTCTCAGTTCCATAGAATGGTACCTGTCTTCTGCTGTGTGTTATTTCAATACTTTGGCTGCATTCAAATCACTCCACTAAGGCAGGCAGTAACACAAATGTCTATGGGATGTTGCTTCAGTTGGTCCCATAGGTGCATGTGTGATTACAAGCCTTAGTCAACTAATTCGGATGAGGCATTATAATTAGGCAGTGTCCGAATGACTTGGCTACGGCTTGAATTACACACGTGCCTATGGCAGCGGCTGCAGCCACTTCTCATAGACTTGTGTGTCAAGTCATAGCCAAGTAATTTGGACATGGCCTTACAGTCTCTAAGTATGGCACCCTGTCTTCAACCCTCACGCTGATATCAATACTCACAGCCAAGTCATAGCTATCTAGAGTCCCCTGCTGAGGCTGGCCCTGTGTTTGCTTTGAACCAGTCTGTCACCTCGGTCTTGTGAGCCGCCAGCCAATCCACGTTGGCCTGCATGTTCTCAATGGCTTGCTGTACCGCCCGCTTGCCTGTCTTGGACTCGTTGAAATGGTCCAAGAAAAACTTGGAAACCTGGGGGGAACAAATCAAGCACTGAACACATTACATGGATTTATGGAAAAAATAGCTTGGGACTCTATGCAGACGGCTTGTTAAATGTAGGGTTTTATCCCAGTTTTTTCATTCTGGCATGCTTTTGTTTGTAAACATACAACACAGGTACGAAAAATAAGAATGTCATTGCTGATAAAATAACAGCACAACTATAGTGATAAGAACTCTAGAATGTATCTGGCACTTATCTTTAATTACAAAAATAGAATCATAACAACAGAGGGTACACTGAGAGGTAGGTGGACTGGAAAACCATTTTGAAGTCTCAAGCTCAAGAGTCTCAAAATTCATGGGAGAAAAATACTGAGAATTCTCCCTGGAAATCCAAAAAATCAGGTAAGGCAAAATGTTGCACACCATGTGGACAATGAGGATTTGTCAATGCAGCAAACTGAAGACTTTATGATCAGGCAAAGTCTTGCCAAGTGAAGGCTTACTTATGAATCATTACCTGATCATATTCATACTGCCTGGCAATGCTTGAAGTAACAGCGTGGATGATGTACGGTAATTCAAACGGACTGCCTTCAAACCTAATACAATATCAAAGAAGGGAGATATGCTGTTTTGATTGATATGTCCAAAACAAACCCCTAGGTCACTGGCAAAACAGTGTTGTTGAAATGTCTGGCAATATGTGAATGCAAGTGGACAGCATTCTCTTTTTGAACATTTCTGAGATTTTTGACTTTGTAAGTGATGGCTAATATAATGATGAATCCTACTTGAAGCATTCCGAAGTGGTTCCTCTCTCAAGACAATACTGTAATATTTATTCTCCATTGTAAAATTGGTCAATTATTAATATAAAAGCCATCACTGGGAAAATAATGAGCAAAGAAATATTATGGAATTATTATTATTGGGTATAGTGATAAATGGTAATTTTTATACACCATATGTGTTCAGCTTCATGCACATCTCACACAAGGTAAAGTTTAACTGTGTATTAAAGACCACGTCTTTAAGAGTTGCGCTAGTCAGTTCTTAGGATTTTAAACACCAGTACTGATGACTGCAAGATTTTAAAACCAGACAAGTTTTCACAAACCTGTCCACTATGGCATCCCAGTTCTCAATAACAAACGACAGCGCAGGATTGGCCCCGGCCGCTTTACCAGCAATGTTGTAGATGACAGTCCCTGTATTCTGGCTTGGTATCTTGTCTTCGTCCATTGAATAGTACAGATATCTGAAAATAGTAATAAATCACACAAAAACGTCTCCAGTTTGACTTGAGAGACTATGTTGGAGTACAAGATTTGTGTGTAATATTCATTCCACTCTAATGCAGACTTGTTACTCTTTCATGTACATTTCTTTTTTGAAAAAAAAAAAAACCCTTGATTACAGAAGAGTTGCAACAGAGCAGTTTTACAGAGCAGTTTTAGAAGCTACTTTTTCAATTTTTTTTTTACAAATACCCATCCACAAACAAAGGATTTGAAAGCCCTCACATTACTTCCAACTAGACAGTGTCCTCTTTCACAATCTTGAACACGTCTTGAAACTTCATGACTTTGGAACATGCCACATAAACTGATGCACACTTCTACAGCAATTGATACACACTTCTATTTCTTGGAAGACTGCCCATTGCAATATGCTCTGGGGTTATGTGCACTTCTGCTTGTCCAATCCCCCCCCCAAAAAAACCCCCCACATACCTGTTGATGAGGAACGGATCATTAGTACAAGACAAAGCTGAAAGCAAAACCCTCTTCTCGCTGGCAACAAGTGTGGTCTGGTATTGCTTCCAGCAGAAGTCCCAATCATCCCTACTGCCATACTTGATGCCGGCACAGTACACAGCATTCTTCAGATTGGCTGGGACCCTGTGACAGAAACAAAGAAAGATACTAAGCGACCGTCTCAAAAACCAGGGCCCAATAGTGCTGCTTAGTTAACAGCCAATTTTGTGCTAACGGAGCCTCCATCTATTTTATAGAGACTGTAAGCAGTAAGCACAGCAAGAGCATGCTTAACCCCGGAGGAAACGGTTGCTGAAATCAGTGAAATAACAATAGAAATTCCCATGCGTGAGCAACAGTTAACACATCCACCTGTGTGCTTCAGTCAAGTTTGAATACTAATCATCAAAGGAATGGACAGCGATTGCTTACTCTGCATTGTTATTCCGCCATTCCTGGAAGAGCTTGGTCGCATTGTCAACTGTTCCAGGATGTCCAAGGGCCGCTGCATCATAGATAACCACGCTTTTAAGAAACCTGACAGTGATGAAACAAAAGGATAACTGTAAACAAATAATGCCTTATGCAAATGACGCGGCTGACTTAAATATATGAATTGTTTATTGTCTGGCTATTTTTGTCTTTTCTATCACTCTACAATTCCCATTAAATTCCCAGTGTTTTAGAAGAGACTGGACAAAAAAATGACATGATTCTTGGCTAGGGTTCGAACCCACACCATCTTTCTGACAGGACCAGCACCACTGCCTTTATACCCACTGTGCTAGCCAGAGTCAGCTGGCCGATTCAAAACATATTGAATCCATTGTTCTGAATTGATGGGTTATTAGCAGTCACTATTAAAGGGAAAACCTGACCAAGGATTGTTAGATTTTTAAAATGTACCCTTGCAGGTGAGATTCCTCATGATCCCAGCCGTTCCTTGCAAACCTCTCCAGCTGTGGAGACAGTAACTTCAGTATGTATTCCTACCAGGAAAAGAAAAGATTACCGTTAGTTAGTGCAGATCTACTCAAAGAGAAAGTGACAGATACAAACTCTGCAGTCACAGAGTGGCTGTGGCAATAATACGACGACAAAGCAATCAAGTCATGAGTCTGTGGGTACATTATGGAAATAATCTCTTTTATACAACGCGTACAACAAGTATATTCCAACCCATGGCACAGCTGCACTGCAAAAATAGAAGTGGGCATTTTACCCGTCACCTCGTAAAACTATTTCTATCATTGCACTCATAAGCATTCAGTATTTATATACTGTGGTGAAATATGGTTCAGAAATGAACCATTAAGAAGTGTTCTTTAGGTATCCAACAGTACACTGTTTGTTATGAGGAGTACATAACAACGAAGTTTTTACTATTACAGTAGAGTCTCGTTAAAATAAAATTATATCAGAATTTTGTATTAAGAGGAACATCAGTCCCATTGTGCATTGTGCATTGTTCATTGTGCACATAAATACACAGTCGGGATAAGGCTTTATGTTTGTTACAACCAAAATTTTGTATTAACAGAGTTTGTACTAACAATATTCGACTGTATATAGATTTAGCGATTGAGATTCCAAGGTATACTTACTACAAATGCACCGTAACCTTCTGTATTCCGCAGGACTTTGCTTATCTTCAAGAGATTGTTGAGTCCTGCATTAATGGGACTGTATTCTGTCTCCTTCACTAGGTATCGGGACAGACTCAAGGCCTTTATCTGATCCAACTGACCAGCCCTGAGGGAAAGAGATGATATAAGGTTAGTTTAACTTTAGAAGAGTAAAGCTGCTCCAAGAGTTAACAAAATCAAATTCAAAAACGTTATTTATTTTAGTGTCTAAAATAGTGAACCTTTTGGTCTGATTTTGCCGCACAGATTTTCTTTTAGTGGTGCCATAGCATATTCACACGACTTATTTTTACAACTTACCATGCCAGGCTGAACGCATCATCCACTAAGTTGGCCCTGTCAGCTACACTGAGTTTCAAATGGTCCTGATTTAGTTGATTGATCAGCGCATCCCAGTTAGCGGAGTCATAGTTGACTCTGTAGAAGCCCGACTGATCGCAGTTGGCTTTGTACCACTTGCCTTCAACATCAAGATTTTCAGGTGCTGCAAGACAGAACAGAGAAGTGATCTGATATAATGAGGTGTGTCTTAAGGTCATTGATCCAATCTGATCGTATCTGGTTATCACCAAAGTATGTCAATTAATCCAATCAGCATGATTTAACAAAACTGAGTTGATGACCATATTTCTAAATGCCTAATACAAAGTAATAGATCAATGCAAAGTAATAGACTGCGCACATAGACAGCAACACATGGGCCTCTCCATTGCCAAACTGCACGTTTCAGCTGCATGCATCACATGCACATACAAGCATGCTGGACACTTTTGCACGCATGTTTGACATTAAACCCGGCTATGATTGGTCGCAAAACCATGTGGCGGCTGGGCGGGGAGTAAACGCATTTGTTAGCAACCAGCGTGCCACTTATCTTACCTCCACTCTTATTCATGGTAACAGAATGCTTCTCAGTTACATCATCACTAGTTATGTAGGTCAGGGGAATAGTCCACTTGTAGCTGCATGTATACACAGATAAAGGAGGCGTATCACTAAGTGTTAAATCATTATGCAAAAGTTTGGAAAACACTCCCTTTTTGACACCACACATTGATATACCTAGGAACCTTGACATATTATTCTATAAAATGAAACTGGAGCTCCAATCTTTTGAAATAAAGTGCTCTAAAGCTTTATATTTCTAATGCAGGCCAGACTTTCAAATTTGTTGAGTTTTTGTAGTTTTGTCGAGGTTTTATCATACTGAGTTACAAATATCAGCTATGTCATTTGCCAGAAGATATACCAGATTATCACAGTTTTCACTTAACAGTATTAGAAATGAACAAAAAATGCACCGTCACTGTGACTAGAAATAACAAACTGCACACTTCCTCACACCTTTCATTGTACAAATCCTAAAAACACTTCCACTGCCTAGTGTAAATTCTTGGCTCAGGCTCTCTGATCAGGCTTGAAAATTAAGGAAACTGATAATTTTTTTGAACTTCTACCAACATTTTCAACAAGACTTTTGCAAGCCTAACAAAGCCGGTCTCAAACCAATTTGGTCCAAGAGGTCAAGGTCGTCATCTGAATCAAATTTTGGGCCAAGCTGAGGCTTAGCAAGTCTTTGGTGACGAGATACGTAGAGAGAGGACCGTAAGCTGGCCCTCTGGAACAGCAAAGAGAAAGATGTTTACCCGAACTTTGAGGGAAAGTCTTTGGATGGCTGAGCCTTCGGAGAGTGCAAGAAGTGCCGTTGTGTTGCGGTGATCTGAGACCCTTTGCGGACCATATTGACCACTGGATAGCCCATCTGTAATGTCCAAGTATCCATCATGCTGGCTATATCCAAATCAGACCCTTCATATGCCTGCCATTCAAACGTCACAGTAAAGGTTACAGCTCTAAACACGTAATGTATATAATCCTAGAATAGAAGTTTCAGAGTTATAATCAAGACAATCGCGGTCATTCAAAGGAATCACATCTATCCTGGAGTTATGATTCAGAATTAGGCAGCATTAGAATCTCTTGGATATAGCTTATGTCTAGGTCTTCACTGATTACAATAGACACAGTCCGAATTGCTCTGAAAGTCTGTTTGAGACACAGCCTCAGTTACAACATACTGACCTTTGACACAGCATCCCATAAGTCCTTGGTCTTCGCATTGCTAAACTTGAATTTCTCCAAGTATTTCTGAAGTCCTTTCAAAAAGATGCCTTCTGGGAGGAAGTCATTCAGCATACGGATTAAGGAAGAGCCCTAAATATGACGGAGAAACATCAAGATCATGAATATATGCTAACTTAAAAAACAGTTTGTAATAAACAAAAGTTAAAGGAAATACGGGAAAATCCAGAAGATACCTAAACCAGTCTCTGGTCACCAAGACATATAACAAATCAAAAGTACAAAGAGATATTCCACTCATCCATCTTGAATATCAAGCCTTTTTGTCCACCTTTACTCCTGCCACTTACCTTGTCATAAGAAATGCTGTCAAAGATTGCATTGATCTCATTAGGGTCAGCCACAGGCACAGAGATGGGGTGAGAGTTGCCCTGACTGTCTGCTTCTAATGCCGTCTGGGTCGTAAACACTGTAAACTGTTCCATCTGTGCAGAACATTCAAACAGAGTGTGTAAACATCTTTGGCTATACTATGTACAACTTCCTTTGCACCTGTACTGGTTGTAATATTTTCTCGTGTAAAATCCTATTCTTTGATCAGTCACAGACAGTCAAACGTTTCTTTCACTTCCCCTACCATGCGTTTGTATACAATCTAGTAAAACCAGGCATGCAACTGGAAATTTAGAAAAAACGAGGAAACTCCAAAGTAATTCAGGCAGTCTGAAATAGGTGGTATTTACGGTGGATGTAGGGAAGTTTGCTACTGTACCATACATGTACATGTCAAGGGATCCAAGGTCAAAATACTCACCATACTGGCACAACCAAGTGTCAGTCTCAATTCAAAGGATTACCAAAACAATATCTCATTCAATCATTCCCCGATGAAGGCCATATACATTTTTGAATAAACACCCAACAGTTTTTAATTTCAACAATGACAGGTGTTTTCACCTTGCATTGAATATTTAGCATTGGAGGTTGTTAGTACTTACCATATGCCAATCAGGATTGTACTCGTTAGTCCCGATGTACTGGACATAGGTGGCAAATCCTTCATTGAGCCAGAGGTCATTCCACCATTCCATTGTCACCAGGTTACCAAACCACTGCAAGAAAAGTGAGGCCAAAAATATGTGTTGAGTACTCATTGAACAATCAAAGTTACAGTTGAAAAAAAAATCCATCAACAAAAAAACAAAACAAAAAACATAAAACCCAAGTTTGAAATGAAAATTAAAAAAACAGAAAACTACTTGTGCAAAATAAATTGTACTTTAATACCGGCATCATGTTGACACCTATTTTCAAGATAATATACAAATATTGAGTGGCTCAGCGTGGAATGGGAGGAATATTATCGCAAGGTAAAATTTGGACTTTTCCATTTCACGAGGCGAAGCCGAGTGAAATGGAAAAGTCCAGATTTTACCGAGCGATAATATTCCTGCTATTTCACAATTTAGAGCCACTCAATATTTGTTTTATATAACTGACATATAGATCCTTGTCATTTGATATATTTGAACTTTTATTTCAATACAAAACTGGAGGAAAATGTATTTCTCTCTTTGAAACCACCCCTTCACGAAAACGTTTGAATCCAACGCTGTAGCGCTTGCTGTTTGGAACAATACGCGCTACGCGCAACGCTGAACGCGCACACCAGCATGCATTTGCACACAAATACCGCGTCATGATCCTAACTGTTGAATAGTATTTCCCATTCCCCATGGGCGGATAGTACTTTTTGAGCCGCGGCATGAATGGGAGCAATAACGAATGCCACGTGATGTGAGTTCCACCAATCAAATGACAAGGATCTGTATGTCGGTTATATAAAAGACTCTATTAATACATCGCAGTGCTCTTTAAGGATATTTGTTTTATTTTAATACTGCCTGAAAATAATGTACAATAATAATCATTATTAGAACGACCCAGTGCTCTGAAACCCTTACAATTAAAAGGTATGAACGTAATATAAAAATTGCAGTTAAAAGGTAATTAAGACTAAAACAACAAAAAATGCATACTTGATAGAGATTTTCATCCCTAATTTTGTTTAACCCAATGTTCTTGTTGTTCTCACCTGATGTGCCAGTTCATGAGTAATGGTCTCCACGATCCACTGCATCCTACTGGACGATGTGACTCCATCCTGGTACAGGATTGATGCCTCACGATACGTGATCAAACCCCAGTTCTCCATCGCACCGGCCGAGAAATCCGGAATGGCAATCATGTCTACCAAACAAACACCGGTAAGATAACCATGTAGTCAGTGCTGTCAGAGGGCTTATGAGAAGGAAAAATAACGAGTTTGATGGGGTGGGTCTCGAACCCACGACCTCCTGCTTCCTAGTGCAGACTTCTTACCACATGTTCACTGAGCTTTTACCAGGGTTGGTTGGCTGGTTCGAATCTTATACAGGTACATGTAGTATGATGGAATTTTAGGTAAGATGGTTAAAGATGGTAGTCAGGGGTTACTAGACAAGGGAGGAACAAGAATTGTATCTGGAGAGATTTAGAAAGATTTGTACATTTTATTTAATATCGAGAAGGTCAACAGAATCTTAAAAGCTTTCTTCAATAAATAACGATATTTCTACAGCTTGTACATACACAATTTTTCATTACAGGGACCTTATCTGCTCAAAAGATATAATTTGCTGGATGTTTTATTACACTGTACAAACCTTGTTTGGATAGAGGATATGCAATGCCGAAGAAATTCTCGTAGAAGGGAATCGTCTTCTTCAAAACGTCTAAAGCCAAACGGGATTGGTTGATCTTGGCTCTGGAGGTATAGACAGCAATCTGCTCAAAAGCAACAAAATGAAGAAATAATAACAGAACACACACATAGTTTTCCTGACACCTATTCTGACATGGAACATTGTACTGATATCCACAATTACCCTCAGTTGATTGCAAATTGGATCAATTTAATTGATCGTAGGTGCTGCTCAAGTTTATTAAAACTACACCGTCCTAATCCATATACATTTATTCTGACGGTCTCAAGTCATTAGATAAGGGATTTATCAAATTGGATTACGCTTGAGTGTGAACAAATTTATTCTCAAAAGTGATTTCAAACTCACATCGGTGCCATTGGCAGTGGTGCTGTTGATTTTCTCAAAGTCACACACGACAAACGCTACCAGATACGTGCTCATGGCAACCGTTGTGTTGAACTCATCCTGCTCCATGCCTTCTTCGGCTGTTGTTGTTCTGATCAAAGCAGTGTTGAACAGGGATATCAGCCCTTTGGCTCGGGTCATTTTCATAGTGAAGGTCGCTTTAAGAGCAGGCTCATCAAAGCAGGGGAATGCTCGGCGGGCAGCTGTGGGCTCAAACTGCGTTGATGCAATGTACCTTTAAATTTAAAGGGGGAAAAATTAGTCACAGTTCATCTTGCTCTGACAGATTCCAATTAGCAGCAGTGTTATTTACATGGAGATTGTTTTCATTCACATTTTTGGGAACATAAGCTTTAAGTTGAAAAACTTCCTGGAACAATTTTTTTTTATGTAATACTATGCATTACTATGCAGTGTTGCTTCAGTGCCTAGAGATTTAATTTGGTGTGATTTTTGTGCTTTACAAAATACATCCATAGCTGAGCTGCAGCTAGTGTGTGTATTATACAAGAGAATCCATGGTCACAGGTTTGGTACATTAAAAAATTGCCTTGTATACACTCAGCCATTTCAACCCCAAAGAATGCATCTGTTGTGTACATTGCCAGCTCTTCAGTGTGAGTACGCCCACACATCACTATCGGTACAGCCTATTTCCTGAACCGAGTCTATTATTTGAGAGATGCATGTAAGCATGGAGCAAAGTTACGGCACATTGTTAGAAACTTTATGTCAAAATAGGTATTCTATTTCCTGTTAGCTCTCCTCATACAAATCAAGCTTTGTTTGTGCGAGCTTCTAACCTTTCTATGCCATTCTCCATGTATGAGCTCAGGTAATATCCATCCAGCGTGTCAGACAGACTGTATGAAAATTGCAGAGTCACGGTGTATGATTTTCCCTCTGCCATCTCCCTGTCGAGACCCAAGTACAGCTGCTCGTGAGTCTCATAGAAGAGCATCTTGGTGACCCTACATTCCTGTCCTCCGACGATGGCTGTGACCTTGTCAGGTTTTAACACAGTCATGTTCTTGTAATGCATGACTATTTGGTCTGTGGCTGACTTTGCCCGAAAGTCAATCTTAACCACACCTGCCACCTAAAGAACATGAGGGATAATGAAAAACAAAACCGATGCAGAATTTAAAAAGGGCCCACACAATGCAATCCCCCCATCCCAGCCCCCCCCCCCCAATTTAAAACAATCTACATCTTTATTTTTTATATACATGTAAAAGAATGAAGGGAAAGAATGTATCCAGACGCCACTTCTTTGGTTGTGTATAAAATCTACGGAGGGTTGAATGCATTTTTTAAGTAGTTTCTAACAAAATTGGAAATAAATTATGTCTTTTCAAAATTTTTGCAATGACTGACCTTCATTGAGAAAATAATGTGGCGTCAGGATGCAACCTTCTTTCCAAATTGAATTAAAAAAAACTTATTATTAAATATCGCCTTAAAACAGGTAATTAATTAGATTTTTTTATCTTGTTGAAAAATGCAGAGGGCATGGCAGAGTTCGAAAGCAAAATTCAATCACACGAATGACACGCCCTCATTGGGAAACGTGACGGCTGATTAGAATAGATTAAAATTCATTATTTTAAAACTCACTTTAAATCCGGTCGTCTTGTTCATCTTGGTTATTAAACTGAGATCATAGTGGATAGGTTTCACTGTTTGGGGTAATCTGATGTCATCCCATGGAAATATTTCCCCATTCGTGGCAATTGCCGCCGTCGTGGTGGACACCGGCGGCGTGGTGACATCAGCGGGCGCAGGGGGCTCACTGGGCGGGCTTGTCGACGCGATGGACGGTACACACTTAGGACGAGCAAGGCTAGCAATCACGGCGATCAGCAATATGGCGACAATCACCATACCCACAATCATCACCGCTGACAGTTTACTGCAGCCCCTGCTTCCCTTGAAGCCTCGCCGGCCGACAGTTTGAACCCTGGGGTTGCCGGCGTTTGGGTACGGCCCATCATCCTCAGGAAGGGGTGGGGAATCGTCGAAATCCAGACGCTCCGACAGATCCTCATTGCTCGCTTCCTCGCGCAGCGGGCTGTAGTTCGCACCGGACGCCATTTTAATGTCACTTTCACTACATTAGACTTGTAGCAGTCGCTTATTGGGTGAGTGAAGGGGAGGCCATTGGATAGATTCAATTTATTTCCATTTTATTTACACTACATCCTCAAGAACTAAACTAGAATTAGGCAAAAAGTAACGAGAGATTAACTGTGGTAAATGAAGATTTGAATTCCCCGAATGCCATCTAGGGAACACTTGACTTAACCTATGAGGCTAAGTACGAGGACAGGAAAGAAAAATATGACCCGACAAAGATAATTTCATGAGTGAAACAATGCAAAATATCTAAAATAATGAAAAATATCTAAAACAAGCCAAAACAAATCACACATTCTACAGATGGATTAAGATTCCCCCTCTTTCCCAAGTTATCACTGATTGAATCAATATTGATTTGAAAAAAAAACAACCCACATTTTAGACTGCCCACCAACCCTGCAGACCAGCCACTGAGATAACACAAATGTAAAATGTACTGATTTCTCAAGATGAGAATGCCCGGACGTTCATTCACTCGTGACAACTTAATTAAACTTGGAGAATCGGGATGGAAACAGTCATTAATATGCCCCAGCTTGACAACTGTATCAGATAATAAAAATAATACTTTCACTGTTGGGATTGTGTGGAATGGATTCAGGAGAGTAATTAACTCATGGCTCCAATCATTCATCAGCTGTTGATTGCTACAACTGGGGATTCTCAGGGTAATTTCAACACCATCCAATCCAAAGCTTCTAATTATAAGGTGAAGCAATCAACTTAAGAAAGTGTCTCAGGCTTGCAAGACATTCTAAAAATAACTCTTTTATTTCACATCTCCTAGATTTTTTTCAGTATGAATTTGCACTCGAACTTTCAAGTACAGATTGGCAATTTAATATGTCTTAGCTGTTTTTACAAAATGTGTACCAGGCAAAAATATTTCAAGGATAAATAAGCTTTGCCTCTTTGGAGACATGTCCGCCACAGTGGGGGATGTCATGCTTTAGGTAAACTTTTTTGTATGTACCTAAACCAAAAAAGTGTCCTATCGTGGCCAATATCTGAAAAAAAGCTAATCTACATCTAGTTCTTCTGTTGATCAAATTTCTCTTGTAACAGTGCTGATGTCAGAGATATAACTGCCGGATGAGTAACACATTCAGCTATCATGCGCCTCATCTTGTCAATGCTGTCTTTTGGTTTCACCTCCGACCTCATCTGCATATTCACAATCTCATCGGCAGACTTTTTATCACTAGGATTAGACTTGACCTGTTGATTCCTTTTATAGATTTGACCTTGACATATGACTGGGACAATGAAATCTGGTAAAGCATCTTTCCAGTGTGCTGGACTGGGAGGATTGGGATTAGTTTTTTGCAATTTTGATTGAGCCTCACAATCTGAGAAATCACAAAGACGTCTCTTCAGTTTGCTTCCTTTGCGTGAACTGCCACCTATTTTGCCCCCATCATCAGCACTGCTGTCTCTAAGCTTGTCTCTCGAATCTCCACACAAGTTGGAGTTGTCTGATGTTTCAGCAGGGTTACAAAGGTCAGACTCTGGCGTGTCAGTTTTTAATGCCTCATCCAAAGCCACTGACTTTTCGACATCTTTCATCTCTAGCTTTCTTGCCACCTCTTCGCTTTGTACAGTTGAGTCCAATCTGTGTGTAGGAAGGTCCCCGGGCTGACCTGTATCTTGGTTCTGACACTGAAGTTCTGACAAGTCACTTGCCTCTTTAATACCACATGGCCATGGTGATTTGTGTGAGTTTTCTTGGACCGCTGCCTCAACGTAACGATAGTTCACCTCGCCGGTACAGATAGTCTGTGGATCATACAAGTGAACACTATCAAATAATATTTTGTGTAGACAAGGTTAAAAATTAAAATCCTTTAAATCAGTTCATTAAAAAAAAATAAACTGCCTAAACCAATTGATGTTCTTGATGACAGAACTCTTCAGCTAATCCTGCTCACAATACACAACAGCAAAATAGCGTATTTACACCACCATCGAGTTGTTGAGTTTAGTCTTTTTTCTCTTTTTAACTGGAACAAGTCTTAATGTTTTCAATAGATATTTCAGATTTGCCTGCCTCGGAAATTAAAAACAGTATGCTCAGCGCTTTCTGACAGACTGCTTGACATTTTCCACAGCTTTCTTTGGCAGGATCTCTCAGATGCATACAACTTCCGATCAAGTTTTGAATTGATTTCTTCCTCTTCTGGATTTATCTTTACCTCAGATGGATTGACCCATTTCATGGAATCACAGGAAGTAGACATGAGAGAGGAGATAAGCACTCTAGTTACTGCCTCCTGTATCCTACTCTCCTTGTCACTCTCCTGTAGTGAGGAAAAGAAAAAAAATACAGAATAATTTCATTTGTCAAAATTAATTCTACAACTATTAACTTCACCATATACTTTACAACTGGATTGCATTTGCTGGCAGCAAGTATACCAGACCTAGTGAGGGTTTGAGGTAACACCATGTGGAAGAATCTCTTTTGAGAAGATGTGTGGTTCTAAAAAGAACCAGTTGGTTGGGAAACTCACAACCAACCGGTTCTTTTCAGAACCACAAATCTCAACAGAGATTCTCCCACATGGTGTTACTGCAAACCCTCACTACTTTACACTACCGCCATGCAAAGTTTCAAACCTTATTTATACCAGATCTTTTCATTTTCAAAACAAACATGACTGCATTTCAGCAAAGATGTTCACATTATAAGGTACTTATAGATCAGATTTCTGGAAGACTCAAATAATCAATGATTTCACACTTTAAGCTATCCATATTGCTTTCCTTAAAAAAAAATCTGGCCATTTTAAAGTATGTAGGACTATTTACTTTTTGAGCCTTTTTTGCGGTTTGAGGCAACAAAAGTGCTCAAAATCTTTGGTAGGGTGTATCTCAATTAAACTGTTTTAGCTCATTGGCTGCCATACATTTAAAATATCATCAGGGAAAACAGATGGTTTTGTAGCTGGATCTTGTTTGTTCTTGTACACACTTTTTAAAACCACCTTTAATGATTGTTTTCTTCCAAACGATACCATTGCAGGCGGAATAATTTCACAGGGTATTGGTTACAATCCCTATCTCCACTTTGAACAATATTTTTCTCACTGAATTTGTAGGTCCATTTCTGAGTAATTACAAACGTTTCTACGTGCCTTTAGGCAAAAAAAAAAAGTCTCCGGTTTCTGGTATGCGCGCGCGTCGCCGTAGCCATGCGCGTCGGCAAAATGAAACAGTTTTTTTTTCAATGAAAGAAGATGTCTCAAAACCGCCAAACTCACTGGTTTGACTGGAATCCTGCTGCTGCACAATTTTAACGTGTTTTTAGATTGGGTTATGATCGAAAATAAGCTTTATGTGGCCTCTCTGGACTCCCATATATTTGCACTAAGTTTAGTCGGGCACCATTTGCAGTCATCAGCCGACATTTGAAGCAAAAAAATCAGGTAAAAAAAAAAAAAAGCCGCGTCGTCGCACCAGTTTTTGGGCAAGCTCCATACCAGAAACCGGAGACTTTTTTTTTTGGCCTTAAGTATGGTGTTCTATATCTGCCATTTCCCGTCGCGGATCTCGCGTCGCGGATCTTGCCTCGCGCCTCGCGGATCTCGCCTCGCGCCTTGCCGATCTCGCCTCGTGCCTCGCGGATCTCCCTTCGCTTCGCGGATCTCGCCTCGCGGATCTCCCCTCGCGGATCTCGCCTCGCGGATCTCGCCTCGCGGATCTCGCCTCGCGGATCTCCCCTCGCGGATCTCGCCTCGCGGAACTCGCCTCGCGGATCTCGCCTCCCCGATCTCGCCTCGCGGATCTTGCCTCGCGGATCCCGCCTCGTGGATCGCGCCTCGCGGATCCCGCCTCGTGGATCGCGGATCTCGCCTCGCGGATCTCGCCTCCCCGATCTCGCCTCGCGGATCGCGCCTCGCGGATCTCGCCTCGCGGATTTTGCCTCTTGTTTTTTTTTCTGGGTGTTGCGCATGCGCAATGACAATGTGTAACTTGAGAAGCACGCACAGGTTGCGTTTCCTTTGTGTCAGATGTCGGCTATTGTATTGTATATTACAATAGCAGACATCTGACACAAAGGAAACGCAATCTGTGCGTGCTTTTCAAATTACACATTGTCATTGCGCATGCGCAACACCCAGAAAAAAAACAAGATGCAGATCGGGGAGGCGAGATCCGTGAGGCGAGATCCGCGAGGCGAGATCCGCGAGGCGAGATCCGCGAGGCGACATCGGGGAGATCCGCGAGGCGCGAGGCGAGATCCGCGAGGCGAGATCCGCGAGGCGAGATCCGCGACGCGAGATGGCAGATATAGAACACCATATTTAAGGATTAAACTTCCCCCTTGTTTCCGTAAAATCTATGTACTTTATTTTCAACATTACCCTGCAATTGTGCACCTTTTCTTTAAATTACAGAAACTCACCACATCTACCCAAGTATTGATGCTGATCGACGTCTCCAGCGATTCCACAAAATGCCACCAGTGTTTGGGAACAAACAGCACCTCTCCAGGCTCTAGTGTCACAACGTAAGGAGTGGCTTCGACAAACTTGGGGTAGCGGTCCAGAGCCGGGTTGGCGATGTTGACAGGGCTGAAGACACTGGATTCCTCATAGGGAATTCTGGTTGGATACAGGAGGTGGGTCTGACTTGGAGGAAACAGGTGCCATCTCTTTCTGACAGAGAGGAGTGAAGGAATTTATGAGCAAAGTGTTATCACAAGAGTGGCACATAAGTTTCCACAAAGGTACATGGGCACTAACACATTTGCAATGCTTTACGAGTAACTTTCTCAAATCATTATGCAGCGTGCATGCCCACATCTCTTTGACCCTGCAAATACATCGTGTAGTGAACATACATTTGAACAGATTGCACAGAGTCCAAGAGAGAGAGAGAGAGAGACATTGTGAGTGTTTCTCACTCATCAGAGTTGAAATCAGAGAGCCCAAAGCTAAGACACTTTAATATTTGGCACTAGAAAATTTCTGATGCACTGGAAAATTTCTGACTTGCAAACAATAACAATTAGACTAGCGGAGAATGATTTATGGTAAAATTCGCGGTTAGCTGAAAGAGGCTGTATTAGGGAAAAAAAACATCTTGCTCTGTGAGCATCTGTCACATGTTATGCAGTTGAACATATTAATTGGATTTTTGGAAAAATTTCAAAATCAAATAAGCATCGTACTTAGACCAAGGCTATGAGTGCTTAGCCTTCAAAAGACATGGGGGCTTTTTAGTTTCCAGTCCTTGCCACAAAGTGAGCAAAGAGACCTTTAATTAGGATTTTTGATATGTAATTTTGAATTTGTCTTCACACATATATTTAAGAACAGCCCACCTGCCATATATCTGAGCCACTAGGTTGAAGCCATACGTATCATAATGCCCCGGTGTGAAGGCCCCTGCACTGCCAATCCATAAGGTGCTTTGCCTGCCGTCCCGATCCTCAAAACCAAGGTCTGACCAACGCACTGCCTGAGATAAAGAACATATAAAGTCAACAATTTGCATTTTGTCAACAAGAGAAATATTACATTTGAAATCAGGTCACAGGGAGTATTTATCATGTCTGGAATAGGGTCTTAGATGACCAAATTTTGTATTTTCATTAGTAAGACTTTCATTTGAGAATCGCTTTAAAATTGGAAGATTTTGAAAGTTGTGTCTTGGAAATGTGGCCAAAGAAAAGAGCGCTGGACAGCATGCTGGGGAAACTTGGGAAACATGAGCACTTTGTGTAAAACCTTAAGCACCCAAATCTCAGCCAACCTGCAAGATGTCTGGATGATCCTCAAACATAAAAGCCATCTGTTTGTAATCCACATAGCACCAGTGATCTTGTCTCTTGTATTTCAGCAATGGATTCTGGGACGTTTGTGCGGAACAGGTCGTGGGTGCGTCACTCCTCAGCCACTCACAAAACTGGCCGAGTGTTGCCTCCTCGTGTGTACAGTCTACCTCCCACAGTACTGAATCTGCAGTGAAAAAGTGCCAGGATATTTATAGAGGTAAGTTGCAATATCTTTTTCTTAATTGAGCAAAAAACTAGGGTATGTAACAAAGCAGACAAACCTTTTTTCCCTATGATTAGATGGTATTGTAATATACATGAACACGTACCTTTGCGTACTAATACCTTCAAGTACATGTACATATTCCTCTGTCATGAGTCTGTGCTGGTGAAATCAATACAAAATATATTCAAATATAATTCCAGTTTTACTTAAAGAGTATTTGTCTGACTCAATGCACATAAATTTGCACCGCTGACATGGGTGTTGTAAAAAGTAAAGCAAAGTCCCATCATGGAGTTTTTGTTAGCTACATTGTTACACGTTAAATATCTAAATACACATCTAAATATTTAACATGTTTAACAATCAAAGGGGAATATCATCCTGCAATCGCCTACATTTTTATGTTTAAGATTGTTTACTTTTCCCATTCCAAGGGTCTGGCTGAAAGGGAACTCATGTCACACTGTGCCTGACAAAAGGCGAAAAATACCTGGTTGTTTACTTCTGACACGGCGGACATTTTGTTGCATTTGCGCAGCACATACGTCATGTACGTATTTCCAGCCGTTAATATAACTTAAAATGTCTTAGATGTTTCCCCCGGCTTCCGTGTCCATGATGTTGGACAAATCCATGTAGGGTACATACACATCGTGTGTTTGTACACATATTTGTACACGCACTAGCCCCATAAATGTGGCCTATTTACTGGACTGCCTCCGTAAACATAGGCCACACATCCACATGTACAAAAACGTGTCGCACTGTGCCAAATTTTGATTTTCACATTTAGGCTTAGTTTGTAGTTTTTTTTTGCTTTAGAAGCATACTCACCCTCTTTATAGGCTAATCAGAAAGTGCTGCCTTTTTCAGATGTCTGTTTTTCGTGAAATTTCCAGATATATTTGCACACGTTTGTGTATCAAAATTTCAACATGAAATTTCACAAAAATTAGACATCTGGAAAAGGCAGCACTTTCTGATTAGCCTATAAAGAGGGTGAGAATGCTTCTAAAGCAAAAAAACCTACAAACTAAGCCTAAATGTGAAAATCAAAATTTGGCAAAATGCGACACGTTTTTGTACATGTGGATGTGTGGCCTATGTTTACGGAGGCAGTCCAGTAAATAGGCCACATTTATGGGGCTATACACGCACATACATACAGCACGGCAATACACACATGTTGTTTCTCGCACGTCTGCAGCAATGATATACTGCTTGCAATAAGTAATTTAGGGAATACGTCTGCATGAAATCAGCTGTACTGACATACAGAATCAATGGTATTGGTAAAAATGAAAAACTCACTCAAATTTTGAGCGGAAAGTGACCCTGTGCGAATCTTTACTTTCTTCTCCTTTAAGACTGACGCTAAATAATCAGGAGACCATTGTCTTGAAGGCCAGCTGTCTAGCGAATTCTTCAGTACTAATGGTTGTGAAAAAGCACCATTTAAGTGTTCGTAAATTAGCCTTGCGTGCTGCATTGCCATTGTATTGTCAGTGATTGTTGTGATGTCAAATTGTCCATGGAAGCCGCCATATTAAATGCCGCCCTCTGTAGATAATCAGCACGACATAAAGAGCGCCATCTAGTGGTTGGTGAGCGCCATCTGCAGATTATGTGAAGCTCGTCAGTCTTGTTTGCAGGGCGGGGGTACAAGCGAAGCTTGCGGTTCGAATTCGGTACATAGATACTGAAATTTGTATCCTTGTGGAGACATTTCTTTGTTCTCGTGTACTAAAGTTTTCGAGTTTGAAAGAACAGTTTCAAAATGCTCTTATTTTAACCAGAATGAATTTCCTTGGCTGAAATTCGGACTTAATATCCCTTTTCTAAAACTCTACCATTTGCGACCGATCAACATGCCTTGGAAATTCCTAGTTTTTGTGTAAAATCCACAAATCTATTTCGTGAAAACCTTGTGGATACGTATTCATCTATAGAAATTGCCATGTGGAGGCGTTTACAATCTTTTGTTCCCTATGGTGTGCATGTCTCCAGAGGGCACGGTGCATCAGATCGGTACTACTGCGTGTCTCTGCGTAAACACCTTCTGCTGGAGGGTTATAAACACGTAGGCGTAGTGCTGGCAGCAAAATAATTCGAGAGGTTTAGCGTGGTTTATGAGGTCCTTAATATCCAAATCTGATTTGAAGGTATCAGCAGATAGTAGCTTCCTGTGTGGAGAGTGAAAGAAGGTTCCACTCTGGGATTGTACGTGGAATGAGGGCATATTTGTAGCAGTCCTTTTTGGTGTGAAGTGGAATGAACGTAGAGTTTGGTTTGAAGCCCCTAGTTGACCTGTTAGATGTTTTGGGTAGTTTGTCATCCTGGAAAGCTACCATGATATTGTTGCCTTTTACAGGAAAGTTAACTAAATAACCTACTAAACTGCTTCCACTGGCGTCCCTCTTGTACTAGTTCTCAGTTACGAAGCGAGCTGCCTTGCGTTGGATTTTCCCAGTCTTTGTGTGGGTCCCAAATGTTTGCACAGTATTCTAACCGGGGCTACTAATGTCTTGTATGCTGTTTCTTTCACTAACTTGTTCACGGCAATCGAGCAGATGTCTTTGCAAAATTCCCCATATACTAGATACTTTGGAGGTAATCTTTGATGTGATGTTTCCATTCTAGGTCATCTGAAATTATTTCTACTTCCAGATAAGGGTGATGTTTTGCAACTTCGAGAGAGGAACGCGACCCATTTTGTACCGATAAGATCTTTTTGGGTTAACATGCATGACAAAGCACTTAGTGATGCTGAAATGCATTTGCCAGATATCTGACCATTCGCACAGCTTATTGATATTTCCGAGTCTCCATCAGATTGCACTTGACGATAAAGAATACAGTCATCTACAAACAGGCGCAAACTCGATCTGATTGAAGATATGGCATGTCGTTTATGTAAATCCTAAAAGCAAGGGGCCACGACCTTGGGGAACGCCGGATACAACAGGTGAACCTTCCAGTACAACCCTTTGATATGACGATGAATTTAGAAATCCTTAATCCAGGTATGAAGTGATCCTCTGATGCCCAAGCCTAATGTGGTATAAGAGCCTCTGGTGTGGTCCTGTATCGAAAGCTTTGCTGAAGTCCAGCAGAATTAGCAGACCTGTTTGGGATTAGGAATTCAGCAGAGACTTGGCAAAATCATGAACGGTGAGCACTTTAGTTGAGATTCACATAAGCCACGCTAGTTTTGCGAAATCCATATTGAACATTTGTGATTCGTCCATGTGGTCCATAACTGTGGTGATGAATGATGTGCTCCAATAATTTGTTGGGTACTGAAGTCAGAGAAATTGGTCTGTAGTTGGCTGGATTAGCTTTGTCCCCTTTTTATTACCCCCCCCCCCCCTGCTTTTTAAAGGGGGATCTCGGGAAAGGGTATTCTTATGTGTCCGTGTGTATTTGTGTGTCCGTGTGTTCCATTTTGGTTAGGTTAACTGTTAGGGATGTCATATGAAAAGTCAGACTTAAATCTCAACCAAACTCGGTGACAATAATCTTTGGGAATAGGGGGACTTCAGATGACTTGAGAAATTTGAGGTCAAAGGTCATCCAGGGGCCAAATGAGGTCATTGTTGTTTTGCAATAGGTAAACTGAAAAATAATGAAAAATTCTGGTGAGTATTGGTGCAAGGGTGTAACGGCATTCCTTTATGATTCTTGCTGGAACCATGCATATCCGGACCTTTATTCTTTATTATTTCTTTTAAGGAAACTACAAAGAACAGCACAATTTATTGTAATGTGGCCACTTTGGAGATTTTGCTGACGAAAACAATGAAGATGACAATAACTAACGGCGAAATGGTGGATTGTAATTGATGGACCTTTTCTCAAAATAATGTGTAATTTTTCTTAGTGTTGAAGGTGTGAAGATCCTGCCTGAAGAATCGTTTCATTGAGTTCTGTTCATTCGAATAGTCTGCAGCCTATCCGGCTTGCTTCCCACATTGAGATGTCGGCACTATAACAACGATGCTTGATTGAGGCTCTTGATTCTTGTAGAGGCATTGACTCCTGGACTGTTCTCGCAGTTGAGTTTTATCATAATCCATAAGCACGATGTTGAACTCGTCTTCGAATTAGAAAACGTACGCTGTACAGATCCACATTTTTAAAAGAACTATTTGATGCCTGGTGTAGGTTTGATAGCTAAGAGCTGATCATAGTTATGACTGACAATAATATCATGGTAAATCTTGCAAAGATATACTTTGTGCGGCTTTGTTTTCCTTGTACTTTGTGAATGTTGTCACCTTTACCAAACAGATGAGATCACTTCGAAGTGAGTGATAACTGTGCGTAGTAACTCGCAGGAAGCACCAATTCCCAGGCATCTCATTTGGGACCATGAGTGTTATTAATTATCGACTTCTCTTAAATAATTCACTGCGATCCTCACCAAATCTAATTGGATTTTTATACAACGACTCTCTCACCGGACCTTCGCTCGATCCCACCGAGCTAGGAAGTCCCCGTGACGAGGTTCAGATTCCTAGTGCCACAGGCACGTCGAACGTGCACCAACTCCTCAATAATTACTCTACCCGCCGTATGTGCATTGCACGCACTTCAAAAAGGGTATAACGTCTCCACCGCGCGCCGGGGTTATTTTCCTTTCAGTTGAAGGCCTTACAGGCTTGGGCTTGCGATTCTCTGATGACATTTTCGACTCTTCCTCTGATGTCTCTGTTAGACTTGACTTGGCTAGTCCTTCACCTGGTCCCTGTTGATATAGTCAGATGGGAGTTCGAGGACCTTTCACGTATAGACCCTGCTCCAGTACCACAAAGTTTATTCCCCAAAGTGGCCAATTTGGATTCATGTGTGTTTCACATTCCATTTTCTGAACTTGCCCGAAGCGATTCGATTATAATTGTAAAACCCTCGCATATTTGTTACATCTTGAGTTGTGCTTTTATGGGGATGAGTGCTTGCCCCCCCCCCCCCAATAATTCAAGAAGCACAGAACATAAAACAAATGTATACAAAAAATCCGCAGAAAGTATAGCTTAAATGAGAACAACTCTATACTGCAGATGGCTAAGGACGGACCCAGAACCATATTATTTTCGGGAGGGGGGGGGGGCAATTGGCCTGCTGCTTTTGCAAATTTGAACAAGGGGGGGGGTGGCTTAATTGACGCTTGGGAGCGCCCCCTCCCCCATCCGCGGCTATGATTACTGCACAAAACATATTTCAATAGACAATTCAACAGAACGACTGTCTGTCTTGGAATGCATCCGCTCTGGCTCATCTCAGCGAGGCCCTTGGTGATATGATTTTAATGGTGCTAAGAACCACAGGTTCACACCTGTGCTTATAAGAGAGTAGCGTCTCGTAGTGTGAATCCGTAATAAACACCACTGTGGAAAGTTGAATTGGATATGAGCGTTGGTTTAACATAGCCCTGAGCCTAACTAAAATTCATCGAACACGAATGAGAAAACCGTGTCACACACAATAACTTTTTGGCCTGTCTACCTCCTTACAATTATTCTGGAGTGATTGAGCTTTCCATTTTTACCGGAGGCCTACATTCAATGGGAAAGTCACGAATCGACAGGCAGAACCATAGATCAGGATGACATGTGGTTGACGTTTGGCCCATAAAGAAAACCCACAACATGCACAAGATATTTCATGATGAAATGATGCTCTGTATTTGGAATTTCTTAGTTTGCGGTCATTTAATATCTGTGGGCAGAATTTAGAGGAGTTGCCCCACGCAGACGCACCTATATTCACTCATCAAGCTTACTGCATTTTGCAATCTGCATAGCTCACAATTAAAGGTAGGATCTTTGCTTCCTGGTGTTTTTTTTGGGAACCAACAAAACTTCAAAAACGTAAGTAGAGTGCATTACAAATGTGCAAGTTTTAGCTAGTTGCAACTATATATTTTTAGAAATCAGATAAAACATTAGCACACTTTTCGGGTATGGAAACTGGATTCCGTTGTTAAAGCACGTAAAAAGGTGTGGCCGCGGGCACACATTTTTAAATTGCTTTCCAGTATTGTTTTCTCCGAACGATACCATTTCGGGCGGAATAGTTTCACAGGTTCTCTGGTACCATTCCTATCTTCACTTAGAGAAAGATTTTTGTTATTAAAATTAGGTAAAATGTCCGCGTTTTTACCAATGTTCCTACGTGGCTTTAATGGAGAAGTATGTATGAGATGCGTGCAAATACCCCATAATCCTCCCTATAGACAAAATCTCATTGCAAAAGTGCACGTGGAAGCAGCACACCGTAATATATACAATGTAAATATTTAATCCATAACATGGCATAGCAAATTCTGTGCTAGAACAGGTGGATATCTTGGACATGATCATGAGCAGACTTTCATTAATCTTTTTATCTGGAGGCTGTTTTGTGCACACCTTTTTTTTATACTCCAGATGAGGCCAAGGGCGTCCTTTTGAATCTTATGGAGATTTTACTTCACAAAATGACCTTGCAAATCGTAGGGAAAAAAACCCACTTCTTAATGGGACAAGCCTTGTTATGGATTATAAATAATATGTCAGTGCACTACTTTG